ATTCCTCAGCACCACATAAGCAAAAAGAAAAAAGCCGGAAGTGGTGCTGTGGCTCAAGTGGTAGAGCGCTAGCCTTGAGCTGAAGAGCTGAGGGATAACACCCAGGCCCAGAGTTCAGGCCGACGACCAGACCCCCCCCCAAAAAAAATCCTGTATTTTGATAAAGCTATTGTTGGTTGTTTGGGAGGGGGCAGTTTGTGCTGGTACTGGGGTTTGAACTCAGGGCCTGGGCTCTGTATCTTATCTTTTTTTTTTTTTCTGCTTAAAGTTGGTGTTTTATCACTTGACCCACAGTTTCACTTCTAGCTTTCTTTTTTGGTTAGTTGGAGATATGAGTCTCATGAACTTTCCTGCCCAGGCTGGCTTTAAACCCCAATCTACACATCTCAGCCTCCTGACTAGCTAAAATTGCAGACATGAGCTACCAACACTCAGCTAATGTTATTGTTTTGGTTTTCAGTTGTGGGGCTTGAACTCAGGGCCTAGCCATAGTCTTTTAGCTTTTTTACTCAAAACTAGAGCTATACCACTTTGAGCCATAGCTCCAATTCTGTTTTTCTTGTAGTTAATTGGAGATAAAAGTCTCTCAGGGAGCTAGGTCCTGGTGGCTTATTCCTGTAATCCTAGATACTCACAGTTTGAAATCAGCCCAAGCCAAAAAGTCCCCCTGAGACTCTTATCTCCAATTAACCAAAAACCAAAAGTAGATAGAGTTGTAGCTCAAAGTGGTAGAGCACTATCCTGAGTGAAAAAGCTCAGGGACGGTGGCTAGACCCTGAGTTCAAGTCCCATGACCAACAACAACAGCAAAAAGAGTCTCACAGACTCCTGCCTGTGCTAGTGCTTCAAACCACAATCCTCAGATCTCAGCCTCCTGAGTAGCTAGGGATTACAGGTGTGAGTCACCTACCTGACTTAAAGCTATCGTGTTTTAACTGTACAAGAAATATGGCCAGAGGCTGAGAAGGTGGCTCAGTGGTAGGGCGCTTGCCTTGCATGCCTGAGGCCCTGGGTTCGATTCCTCAGCACCACATAAGCAACAAAGCTTGGGGCTAGGGAAGGCACGAGGTCTGACCTCTCCCAGAGGTCACGATGAATGAAGTAGAGAAAAGCGGTGAGCATAGCAAGGGCTGCAGGTGTCACCAGAGGGGTAGTTCAGGAAAATCATGACTGTTCAGCCGTTCTGACTCCATCTTTAGCTTGCTCAAGTCATCTTCAGATGCTGAGATTTCTGTGCTTGGATTTTGTGCAGAGTACTCAGTTGCCGTCCCTAAGTCCGTGTTCCCTGGCCTCTTCGTGCTGGGGATAGTGCTCTGGAGCCTCGTGGAGTACCTCATCCACCGCTTTCTGTTCCACATGAAGCCCCCCAGCCACAGCTATTACCTCATCATGCTGCACTTCGTCATGCATGGCCAGCACCACAAGGTGAGTGACACGGTCCTTACAGCTGTAACTCCCAGGATCGGTGGGGGTTCCGGATATCATGGTTCTAAGCTAGGAACAATGGGAAACCTAGAGTGTTTGGCAGTGCTCAGAGGGGTGACTTGGACTAGATATCCAAATCAGAACCAAGCCGGGACAGAATGTTTGTGTGTATCTGTGCACACGTGCACCATCATAAGCACCAGGCGCTCTGAGTCATCTTTAATCTTCCCAGAAACTCATGCATTCATTCATTTCTCCAACACCTGCTCACCAGGTGCCAGGCACCATGCTAAGCATCTGTGACAAAACAGATTTTAAAAAACACCTGCTGTGTGCCAGTGGTGCATGCCTGTAATCCTAGCTACTCAATAGACTGAGATCTGAGGATTCTGGTTCGAAGTCAGCCTGGGCAGGAAAGTCCATGAGACTCTTTTTTTAAATTTTTTAATGTTTTTTTTCTTTTAATCTGTATTGTTTGTTTTTTGTTTATGTGGTACTGAGGAATCAAACAGAGGGCCTCATGGATGCTAGGCAAGCACTCTACCACTAAGCCACATTCCCTGCCCCAAACTGATTTTTTTTTTGTCTTTTCTCTTTTTTGGTATTGGGGATTGAACCTAGGATGTTGCGCTTGCTCAGCAAGTGCTTTGCCACTGAGCCACATCCCAGCCCTGTGAGACTCTTTCTTATCTCCAAAAAACTATTCAGAAAAAGCCAGAAGTGGCCTTGTGGGTCAAGTGGTAGAGCACTAACCTTGAACAGAAAGAAGCGCAGTGACAACCCCCAGCCTAGAGTTCAAGCCCTAGGACCAGCACAAAAAGAAAAGAAAAGGGGCTGGGAAGGTGGCTCCGTGGTAGAGCTCTTGCCTTGCATGCCTGAGGCCCTGGGTTGGATTCCTCAGCACCACATAAGCAAAAAGAAAAAAGCCGGAAGTGGCGCTGTGGCTCAAGTGGTAGAGCCTTAAGCTGAAGAGCTGAGGGACAGCACCCAGGCCCTGAGTTCAGGCCCCACGACCGGACCCAAAAATAAATAAATAAAAAAGAAAAGAGAAGAGAAGAGCCTAGTCCTTGTGCATTCTCCTTCTGAAGATGATGCTGAAGTCTACTCAGGAAACTGAGGCTTGGGAAAACTAGCAACTCAGCAACCCGCACGAGGTCACGGCTGATGCGGCCAGGCTATGGTGCGGTGTGCAGGGGTTCTGAGCCAATGTGCTGTCAGCCATGACAGCTCCCCTAGGCTCTGCAAGGGCTGCGTGGCATTTCTGGAAGCTGAGATGGACACCACATGTGCCACAGGAAGCCAGCGCCGCCCCTCCCCCCCGCCTGTGGCCTCTCTGCCCCTGTGACGTACGTGGCCTCTCCTAGGGGACCCTCTGTGAACCCCCATGCTCTAGACTTTTCCCAAACATTTTCATCCCCTCTCATTATTCAAAAGAATGAGATCTTCTCCCCCACCTTCTGTTTCTTGATGGGTATAAATCAGAAAATGTGGTAGCTATGGTACTTTTTCAGTGGTACTGGGGTTTGAACTTAGGACTTCATGCTTGCTAGGCACACAAATGCTTTAATAATGAGTTTGTGTGTGTATGTGTGTGCGTGCGCATGCACACTTTGGTCATGGAGTTTGAACTCAGGGCCTAGGCATTGTATCTCAGCTCTTTTGCTCAAAACACAAAAGTGTCCTACCACTTTGAGCCACAATCTGTGTAATTTTTTTAATCATTTATTTATTTATTTATTTATTTTTGTCAGTCATGGGGCTTGAGCTTTGGGCCTGGGCACTGTCCCTCAGCTCTTCAGGCCAAGGCTAGCACTCTACTACTTGAGCTACAGCACCACTTCTGGTTTTCTGAGTGGTTTATTGGAGATAAGAGTTTCAAGGCTTTTCCTGCTTGGGCTGGCTTTGAACTGCGATCCTCAGATCTCAGTCTCCTGAGTAGCTAGGATTACAGGCGTGAGCCACCAGTGCCCTGTTGCCACAATATTTTTTAAATGTTAAAAAGATTTTAACTAGATCATTTTTAAAAAGAATTTAGAATCGCAATTTCTGGTATCCAGATATGGGTTCTGTTTGTTTGTTTGCCAATCCTGGGGCTTGAGCTCAGGGCGTGGGCACTGTCCCTGAGTTTCTTTAGCTCAGGACTAGCACTCTATCTACCAACTTGAGCCATAGTGTCACTTCCAGCCTCTTCTGTTTATGTGTTACTGAGGAATCGAACCCAGGGCTTCATGCATGCTAAGCTAAGCCACATTCCCAGCCCCTAGATAGGGGTAAGATATGAGTTCAGATGTGGGGAGAAAAAAAGCTACTAAAATCTGCAGTCCTGGGAATGAACTGATGACTAAAAATTTACGCCTGGTGAACTCAGCCAAGCTGGAGATTTCACTGACTGACTAGGAGAGTTCTCAAGTTGATGGGGCTGGTGTCCTCTCTGCTGTCCCCAGAACGAGTCAGCATTCCAGCAGTCCACCTTGCCTTCAAACCACAGTTCTCAGATCTCAGCTTCCTGAGTAGCAAAGATTATAGGTGTGAGCCACTGGCACCAGTTCCCTCCTTGATCTGTGAGCTGGTTTTCCTGACTTACTGATCCTGTTGCTGTTAGCATCGGCAGCACACCAGATATTACTTGCTTTTTCCCTCCTCTTCCACTTCTTCCTCCTCTTCCTCCTCTTCCTCTCCCTCCTCTTCCTCCAGAAGGTCCTTCTCTTTTCCACATGTTCACCAAGAAATCTCAAAACTCTTAGCCTCTGTCTAGGTTCTCAGCCCTGGAAGTTCAAGAGCCAAAGGCTTGGCCCTTTCTCTGATTCACTGTGACAACACCTCCTTAAACCAAGAAGCCTCAGTTGGGAAATTGGGGCGAGGAAAGCAGACAACCCCAGTTTGTCTGTGTGCTCCTATGCCAGACCACCTCAGCCCCCAGTCTCTACAAAGGCCCTCTGACTAGGGGTTGCAACTTAAGGGCGAACTCAAGAAAGCTCTGGAGCCAGGCACTGGTGGCTCACGCCTGTAATCCTAGCTACTCAGGAGACTGAGATCTGAGGATCGCAGTTCAAAGCCAGCCCAGGCAGCAAAGTCCGTGAGACTCTTATCTCCAATTAACCATCAGAAAACCGGAAGTGGCTCTGTGGCTCTGGCCAGTTTGCCAGGTCCCATCCTGGCTTGGAAATGGGGAAGAGAACACTAAAGCCACAAAAGGCACTTCACCTACCCACATGACAGCTTGCTCTTCCTTCACGGAGATGTCTGGCTTCTCTCCTTCATCTTCCGTGGGAGGCATTTCTGGCTCGGTGTGCTGTGACCAGAGGCCTTGGGGCTCAGGGCTGCCTCTGATACCCAGGCCTCTCCATCCACAGGCACCCTTTGATGGCTCCCGCCTGGTCTTCCCCCCTCTGCCAGCCTCTCTGGTGATCGCCTTCTTCTACGTACTCCTGCGGCTCATCCTGCCTGAGGCTGTGGCGGGCACTGTGTTTGCGGGGGGCCTCCTAGGTTATGTCATCTACGACATGATCCATTACTACCTACACTTCGGCTCACCACACAAGGGCTCCTACCTGTACAGCATGAAGGCCTACCACGTGAAACATCACTTTGAACACCAGAGGTCAGGTAAGGCTGGGTCAGCCCCTCCCAACATCCTTAAGTTTATGCATTGAAGAATCTGACAACTGCAATGAGCCCCTCTCCATTCAGGACACTGGGCCTGCACAAGGGGGTGCTTCCCGACAACTGCAAGTTCAGGCTGACCACACGGGGACCGACAAGGACATCAATAAATGGCAAGGACAATTTCAGGCAGTGAAAGTTGCCATAAAGAAAAAAAAAAAGGGCTGGGAAGGTGGCTCAGTGGTAGAGCGCTTGCCTTGCATGCATGAGGCCCTGGGTTCAATTCCTTAGCACCACATAAGCAAAAAGAAAAAAGCTGGAAGTGGTGCTTGGCTCCAGTGGTAGAGCACTAGCCTTGAGCTGAAGAGCTGAGGGACAGTGCCCAGGCCCAGAGTTCAGGCCCCATGACTGGCAAATAAATAAATAAAAAATAAGAATAAATAAATGAGTGGGATCTTAACCAAGTATAACCAAATTATTATCATTTCAACATATGATCACCATTTAAAACAAATCATTTATGATTGGTGATTTATGCCTATAATCTTAGCTACTCAGGAAGCTGAGATCTGAGATCATGGTTCAAAGCCAGCTTGGAAACAAAAGTCCATGAGACTTTTATCTCCAGTTAACCAGGAAAAAGCCAGAAGTGGAGCTGTGTCTCAAGTGGTAGAGTACCAGCCTTGAGGGCAAAAAAAAAAAAAAAAAGCCAACCAAGAACAGGAGGACCTGAGTTCAAGCCCTAGTACCAGCATTAAAAAAAAAAAAAGGAATTAAATGAAATCAGCAATTCATTTCCTCTGTGGGTTCCAACTATATTCCAAGTACTCAGTAGCCACATGTGGCCAGACACGAAATAGCTCAATAAAAATGATCTTAGAGGGATTGGTAGAGCACCAGCCAAATGAGCAAAGCATCAGGTACCAAGTTCAAGTCCCCAGTCTTCCAAAAGAGAAAAAGAAAGCAGCAAAAAGGTCTAGGAAGGGGTCACTGATGATGTCATTGTCCTTGAAACCCCAAATAAGTAGAAGCCCAACTCTTGATGTGTGGAGAAAGAGCTTCAGGCCATAGACAAGAACAACGTGGGAGGTGAGAGAAGAAACGTCAGGCGGGACCCCGCTGTCCCAGGAATGCAGAGGGGGAAGTTGAGATCATTCTAACTCTATTCTGGGGACACACAGGTGACCCTGCCCTTGGCTTCGGCCACAGTGTCCCTGGACTGGAAAGCCTCCCTGCCTGCTAATCCTAGCCTGCATGATTTCCTGCGAAAATGTCTCTCTGCTCCTCCCGTCTCACCTTCTCCCCGGTGTGTCTCTCTCTCCCTAGGATTTGGCATTAGTAGTAAGTTGTGGGATTACTGTTTCCACACGCTCATGCCAGAGGAACGCCACCTGAAGACACAGTGACAGCCCCCAGCCCCTCCCCACTGCCTTCGGTCCAGCCCTGGCTCCTGAGTCTGTGATCTGCCATCCCTGCTACCTTCCATCCAAGCCTGGATAAGTAGGATGGGCTTTGTCCCGTCCTGGGACTTGGAGGCGGGGACTAAGGAGACCTGTGGCAGGATGGCCTGTTAGGGCTGTGGGAAGATCATATTGCCTTAAGGCCAGGGAACCCTTAGGGACGGGCTTCTTCCCAGAGCATCCTGATCCTGGCCACTGGCATCCCTACCTAAGCCTTAGTCTACAGGACTGCTTCAGCGCCCAGCTAATGGCCCCTAGGGGTATGAAGGAAACAGACCCCCCCAACCTGTGCCTTAGCACCTGGAGCTCCCTGGAGCCGCCCCAGGTAGAGGGGTGAAGGATGTGCAGAGCCTGCTGCCCATCTTTCCCTCCTAGCCTTCCCAGAGAGGGGCTGGTGACTGGAGGTGAATGAACAGCTCTCACAGATGAGACAGCATGATACCTCTCACCCGCCCCGCTCACAGACCTCTGCTCCCTGCCAGCCACAGAGGCCAGCTGTACTTCCAGCTGTGCTCAGCAGCAATACTGGCACTTTACCTAGCCAGCCCTCACTGGCCTGGGACAGACAGCCTGAGGGTGGCTGGCCTAGTCTACAAGGCCGGTGGAGACCCTGGCTCTTCTTTTTGGGAATCACCCGCTGCTCTGCCCATCTTTTCTCTGTCCCAGAATCACAAACTTCTCCTGTAAGGGAAGCTGAAAAGGCTTCTCCATCGGTGGGAGTCCCAGTGTAGTTCCCCACGGTGTTTGGCCTCCATCTGGAGGGCCACAGGTGGGTCTCCACCCACACTCAGCACCCTCCTGAAGCCAAGAAGGGCCCTTCATGAAGTGCCTTAACTCCCTCCACCCTCCTGCGCTGCGAGGGTCTTAATTCTAAATGGCGTCTATGTCCTTAGTCTGACCACAGATCAAATAGCTGCTCCAACGGCCCTTCCTAATCCCATATGGTGAGTCTATGTAAAAGAAAAACAATGACAACAGCAAGAAGTCAGCTGTTTTGGTTTTGTCCCTTTCTTACCCACAAACCATTACTACTTGAAACTTGTCAAAAGCTCAATGGGTGTAAAGGCTTAACGTGTGATGGATCCTGTGATTTGTACTGTTTACTGCGAGGCTATTTAAAAGATTTTTGAATAATTATTCAAAACTACAATTGTGAAATAAAGATGTAAATAAATTGTATATTTTGAAAAATAAAATATATTAAAAACAACTACAGCAACAACAACAAAGACCCATAGTTGTTTGTGGATGGTAACTGCATCAGGCGCGTCATAATTGAGAAGGGAAAGTGGGGAGAGAAGGGGTTTCTCTAACCAGGAAGGTTTTTGTTGTTGCTGTTACAGTCCTGGAGCTTGAACTCAGGGCCTGGGCTCTGCTCCTGAGTTTTTTTTGCTCAAAGCTCATGGCTAACACTCTACACTTGAGTCACAGCTCCACTTCCAGCTTTTTTAGTGGTTAATTAGTTTTACAGACTTTCCTGCAGGGCTGGCTTTGAACCATAATCCTCAGAGCTCAGCCTCCTGAGTTGCGAGGATTACAGGTGTGAGCCACCAGTGCCTGGCCTACCAGAAGGATATCACACTTACTAGGTTGTGTAAAACTGGGGACAGACTGAGCTTTATTACTATTTTTAAATTCTTTGTAGATGACATCTCCTCTTGCTGTCTGTATCTGGAGGGTTGCTCCCCAAAACCACCTTGACTTATACTACTGGGATGAGAACTTTTCTGGAATTGATCTGTCCCCAGCTGAGATTCATTGGTAAAGTTTAGGTCCAAGCTTCCCACCATCAAGAGAGGGAATAGCCCAGATGGTAAAGCACTAGCCTTGAGCCAAAAAGCTAAGGGCCAGCACCCAGGCCCTGAGTTCAAGCCCCAGAACCAATACCGAAACAAAAAAAAGTAAGTGCAGGACTAGTCATTGGAAGTATGCCATGGCACACTAGACAAAAAGCAACTTCAGGGTGCCACAAGTGCCAATGAAAGGGTAACCACTGGCTTTTCACGTTGTCTCCAGGAGCTGCTCAAGGAAGCGAGATGTCAAAGCCGCATCCCAAACCAGTCAAACTAGTGCAAATCTTTAGGGCTCTGTGTACCTTCCAACCCAGAACTCCAGACAAAGTGCACTTAGAGGAAGGTGATATTATCTGCCTTGCTGTGAGCTGTCCCAGTTGGTAGAAAGGGACCTGCCAAGGTAGGATTGGGCTAATTCCAAGCAACTGTGACACTGTGCAGGCAAATCCATTGCATAAACTTGCAGAAGAAGCTGGGGGCCAGTGGCACACGCCTGTAATCCTAGTTACTCACGAAGCTGAGATCTGAGAATCGTGGTTTAAAGCAGGAAAGTCCACCAGACTCTTATCTCCAGTTAACCATTCAGAAAACCGTAAGTACTGCTGTGGCTCAAGTAGTAGAGTGCTTGCCTTGAGCTGAAGAGCTGAGGGACAGCGCCCAGGCCCAGAGTTCAAGACTTATGACCGACAAAAAAAAAAAAAGTTGCAGAAGAGGCAGCCTATGCTACTTGACTGTGTTTGGAAACCAAATGAGTGGTGATAGCTTAGACAAAGCTACTCATCCAAATATTGACCTGAACCAACAGAACAAGTTGGGAGACAAAGTTTGCACAAGGCTGCCTGGAAGGACTAGGCCTTCCAGAAGGAAGAGCCGGCCATGGCCACTGATGCTGTCTGCACAATTCTCCTGAAAAAGAAACGGGGACCAGATGCCATTCAAACATTAAGCAATCCTGAAGACTATTTTAATGAACATTAGTTTCTGGAGCCTTGAGATCTAAAATTTCTTTTACCTTTGCCATTCTAACACCTTGGGTTTTCAGGGTTTTTTTTTTGTCAGATGAGTATTGATAACTGTAAAAAAGAAATTGTGGGGCTGGGAAGGTGGTAGAGTGCTTGCCTTGCATGCATGAGGCCCTGGGTTCAATTCCTCAGCACCATATAAGCAGAAAAAGCCAGAGGTGGTGCTGTGGCTCAAGTGGTAGAGTGCTAGCCTTGAGCTGAAGAGCTGAGGGACAACGCCCAGGCCCAGAGTTCAGGCCCCATGACCACCACCAACAACCACAAACATTGTGTGTATATACATATTTATTTATATCCATCTATGGATATATGAAAGAACATAGGATTATGGAAGGATTGCACTTTGGAGTAGAGGGTATATAGTTCTCACTTTGGGTTTGTCAATAAGAAACTCAATGCTTTAATGTATGAAATATATTTATATTCACTAGTATAGAATAAGAACAGATTATGTCTGTTCATCAAGCTAAAGGAATTTTAAGAATTCTTTTTTTAGCAAGAGCTTAAGATTTTTTTTTAGTTCTTTTTCTTCTAGTGTTACTGAAATTCTTGAGCTTTTGTGCTTGTTAGGTAAGTACTACTACAACTGATCCAAACCTCCAGCCCTGATTTTTGCTACCACACTGAGGACATTCCTATTAGGCTTCCTATGTAGCTAAGATAATAGTCACATGACACCATGCCCTGCCCTTCATTGAGGATGGGGTCTTATCAACTTTTTCTGCCAAGGCTGACCTCAATTCACCATTCTCCCAATCTCAGACTCCCAAGTAGCTAGAATTGCAGGCACTAGCCTATCAGCATCCAGATTTCAACTTCTTTACTTCAAGGATTGGGATGTTTTGAATGGATTTTTCCATTCCAAAGAGAGGGAAAGTTTTATTATAATTATAGATGGGATCACTGTCAGCTATCCTAACAACAATAAACATTTTAGCTTAGAGATTGTATTCCTTTTTGTTTTATACTATTACTCATTGCTAACAATAAAGCAAGCTTTTTATGACCAGGTAAGAACTGAGGGTTTTTTAAAGTTATAATTTACTAACACCGAAGACCATGATAGCCATATTTCTGTCCAACTTCCTCTATCTGCTTTGTGTGTGTGTCTGTCTGTCCAACTTCCTCTATCTGCTTTGTGTGTATATGTGTGTGTGTGCGCGCACACACGCGTGCACACGCACGCCAGTGGCTGTGTTTGTTCTAGGGCTTGAACTCAGGGCCTCATTTCCTCTTGCTCAGCTTTTTCTGCTTACAACTGGTGCTCTATCACTTCATCTACACTTCTACTTCCAGCTTTTTGCTGGTTAATTGGAGGTAAGAGTCATAAGGATTTTTCTACCCACGCTGGCTCTGCACCTATCTTCACAGTTAGGTATTTTGCTCTGAACCAGGATGCTCAGATCTCAGCTCCTGAGTAGGTAGGATTATAGGCGTGAGTCATCAGCACCTGGACTTTTGTCTGCTTTGATTGGTCAAGATAATAATCACTGAGAAGGCCCACATGTATTAAATTGTATAATTTGAATAATTTTTTAAAGGAGAAAGTTGAACATTTGCTCAGGAGAAAAACTAGAAATTCTAATCAATATAAAGTAAATTTGCAAATTAACCTTCATGATCCTGGTGATTTGCCTTGCCTGGTCCTCCATCAGATACTCAGCCTTCCTAAGAATGGGCCCAGAGCCTTGAATTGCAGTCTGGAGTAGTGCTTAATCTTTCAGACCTGTTAGTCTTTGGGCAGGCCAGAAAAACTGCTCTCTCCATTCTGCTTCATGCCAGTCCTCTCTTGGCTCTGGCTTCTGATCTCTACCTCTGAACGTTATGAGATTTCCAGTACAATGACCAACTTATAACGGCCCCATAAATGTCAAGTCTTCTTTCCTCCCCATCCCTGGCCAATAATGTTATCTGGGTTGGCTGGTTGTTTGTGTTTTTCCTTCTTCTTTACCTCTTCCCTGGCCTCTGCTGCCCTCTGGTGGCAGCATGCAACCCTGCCCGTTATGGCAGTCATAAAGCAGTGTTCTGGAAAAAAGGTGTCTGTGATTTCAAGATTCCAGTGCTAAGCCAGCACTGGTAGCTCGCACCAGTAATCCTAGCTACTCTGGAGGCTGAGATCTGAGGATCAGGTTCAAAGCCAGCTTGGGCAGGAAAGTCCATGATACACTTATCTCCAATTAACCAGCACAAAGCTGGAAGTAGAGCTGTGGCTCAAGTGATAGAGCACTAGCCTTGAAAAAAAAAACGCTAAAGGATAGCACCCAGCCCTTTAGTTCAAGCATAAAACAAAAACAAAAACAGGGCTGGGAATGTGGCTTAGTGGTAGAGTGTTTGCCTAGCATGCATGAAGCAGGCTAGCATGAAGCATGCAGGGTTCAATTCCTCAGCACCACATACAGAGATGAAGCCAGAATGGCTCTGTGGCTCAAGTGGTAGAGTGCTAGCCTTGAGCAAAAGAAGTTCAGGGACAGTGCCCAGGCCTTGAGTTCAAGCCCCAGGACTGGCAAAAAACAAAAATAACATTGCTTTTGACTTACTTTCTTGTCTCATCTGTCATGTTTTGAGAAGAAAATTGAATGATTTATATAAACTTCACAGTTCTAACTTTCTAAAAAGTACAATATATGTGAAATTTCACCTGCAGTTTTCTTCACAGGTGGTTTGCCTGATGAATGAATTTTATCCACAAAGAAAGCTACAGGATGAATGTGAAACTTAGAAAATGCTAGCTCTCCCATCGTCTTCCCTCCATCTCAGACATCTATAGCCAAGGAAAAGAAGAAATTAGAAGAAAATCTCCTGTTTTCACTAAAGCCTAAAAGTGAGGTTCTTCAATTAGGTTCCTGGAAATGCAAAACCTAAAACAAGATCATAGATGCAAGTATTTGAGAGAGAATTGCAGAGATGAGGAGAATAGGTTGAGAAGGTCTGGGAAAGGAATGATCATGAGAGCCGTGCTAGAATGTGTACGAATTTCTCATAAAAACTCTGCATAGCCAACACTGGTAGATCACGTCTGTAATCCTAGCTACTTCAGGAGATGGAGATTTGAGGACTGCAGTTTGAAGCCAGCCAGGGTAAGAAAGTCAGTGAGACTCTTATCTCCAGTTAACTGCCAGAAAACCGGACGTGGCACTGTGGCTCAAGGTGGTAGAGTGCTAGCCTTCAGCAAAAGAGCTCAGATACAGCACCCAGGTTCTGAGTTCAAGCCCCATGATCAACAAAACATAAATTCTGCATGGGCATCAAAAATACCTGACAGGATCGTCTACTTAAAGAATAAAAAGGGGGGCTGGGAATGTGGCTCAGTGATAGAGTGCTTGCTTAGCATGGATGAAGCTCTGGTACCAGAAGTGGCACTGTGGCTCAAGTAGTAGAGTGCTAGCCTTGAACAAAATAAGCTCAGCGGGGGCTGGGAAGGTGGCTCAGTGGTAGAGCGCTTGCCTTGCATGCCTGAGGCCCTGGGTTCAATTCCTCAGCACCACATAAGCAAAAAGAAAA